GCCCCACCAAGATTTTTTTAAAAATTAAAAAAAAAAACTAGATTTTACAGGAAGGGCACAGGTGGGCCTATGATAAATTTTGGGAGCCTGACTAAAGTCTGGTCAAGTAAAGAATCTTTGTCACCACATACGGGTCCCTTTGCCTTCTCTGTGTTCAGCAAACACCATTGTCGTGTGTAACCTCTACAGGGGTAATAAACTCCATTAGGCAAGATTATAATGTTTGCTTTCAGCACTCAAAACTGAAAAACCTCATGAGGAACAGAATAGTCAGTTTTATTCACCCAGGTACTTACCAACTCTGATGCTTTTATTTCATTTCTGAGCTTCCCTGTTTTCTTCTGGCCTCATTTCCCTTCTGTCTGAGGAACGATCTCTGGCAATTCTTTTAATTCAGATCTGCTGGCCACAGGCTGTCTTGTTTTTTATCTAAGAGTGTCTTTGTCCCTTCTTCCATCCGTAACGTTACTCTCACTGGACCTGGGGTTCCGGGCTGATGCTTGGAAGGTGCTGTCCTGCTTCTCTGGGTTCCGCGGCTTCTGGTGAGAAGGTGGTGGTCGTCTGAGGTGCGAATCCGCTCTGGCCACTGCCAGGCTTTTCCTTTATCCTTGGTCTGCAGTGCTTGGATCATGATGTGTCTGAGCTGGCGTTTCTTTGGGTTTGTCCTTTTGGGGGTCCGCTGAGCTGCTTGAATCTGCGGGTTTCACCAGACTTGAGACTTTTCAGGCAGATTTTACCCACGACCCCTCTGGCTCCTTGCTGCTCGTCTCCTGGGAATCCGGTAGCAGGAATGTGGGCCCTTACAGCAGGGAGTAGGGTAGGGCTGGTTTTTCCTGTTGTTCACATGGGCTGGGCCAGTTCTACTGACCGGTCTTCAAGTTCTCAGACTTTGCTTTGTGACCTCCGTGCTGTTACTGAGCCCATCCAGTGAATTTTTTTTTACTGCTGTTACTGTGCTTTCCAATTCTAAAATTTCCTTTTGGTTTTGCTTTATAACGTTTCTCTCCCGGGGCTTTCAGTTTTTCCATGTACTTCTAGAGTGTTTGCCCTTCCGTTTGGAGCACGTTTATAATGTCTGTCTTAAAGTCTTTGTTAAGGGCGCTTAACATCTGTGCCGCCCGGCCTTGTCCTGCACAGATGGCCTTTTTCCATAAGAGTTGACATTTTGCTGGCTCTTCACGTGCTGAATAATCTTGCGCCCAGGACGCGAGAGTATTATGTTATGAGACTCTGGGCCTTGTTTATTTCCAGTGGAGAATGCTGCCTTTTTTACTGTTTTACTGTTACCCAGTTAGCTTCAGTCATCCAGCGCCAGCCTTCTCTGGGGTTGGGTGCCTGCCTGTTCATTTTCGGGGCCTTTGCCTCGCTGCCCTGTGGCCAGTCTGACCTTGGCAGTAGAACCAGATAGAGGGCAGCAGTGGAAAAATGGGTGAAATTCAAATAAAGTCTCTGGTTCAGCTGAAAGACAAACGCTGCCTCCTGCAAGCAGGCTAGATGGCAGGTGCTCGGCTGGGCCCTGCACGTGGAGCCCTGTCCCCTTGGGGTGGGGTTGCTGTGTCTGTAGGAAGTGGGCTCAGGAGTCAGTAGACAGCTGCTGTGTCGTT